TAATTGCTTTATAGTACTAAAGATTAAATACAAACTACTTGTAAACAAAAATCAAATAAAAAGTAAATTTTTTATATATTTTTTACAAATATAAAATGTAAATTAAAAAATAAATTATTTTTGATGTATTTTTGTTGGTTTTAAAGTGATAATTATTAATAATATTTGACAAATATTAATTAATATAAAAAGTGTGAAAAACCTAATACAAATTGTAGATATTTTAAAATATATACATTTTTTTTAAATAATATCATTACTTATTTATTTTCTTTATACTCATAAATAAAATGAAAAAGTTTGTAATATATAGATAAAATGTCACAGATCAAAAGTCTATTGAAATTTCTGAATGCCATTTAAAAAAGGACGAGATCTTTGATACATGTAGTGTAACTGTTTGATGCTATAGAATTTGTTGTTTCCAAAGCCGTAGGGAAATGAGATTGGAACATGCGTTTCCCGAATTGAAATATCCTAGGTTTAACATAGATCAAATGGATTTCGAAAGTGTTTGTCGCTCAAACCATAAAAAATAAATAAAATATAAAATGTAATGTGACCTATATAGCTTTATCAACTGTATTTGTACAGGAAGATGGAGTGCCGTGTTTACATTTATCTCTGTTTGATGAAAAGCTCTTGTCCGAAGGTCCAATTAAGTCTGGGACGTTTCAATTGAAGGATTGTGAGGAATCTAAAGGATTGATTCGAGAGGTAAACGCAATCGAAATGTATAAGAACTATAAATCATTGTTGTTGAAATAAGAAATTAAGATTTATTATTGCGAATGCATAAGGCGGAGTTGCTTGCATCAAGTCAAGTGTTTTTTATGCTGCTGCTGCTACGTTCGTTTCCTAGTCCTGCTCTTTCGCATAAACCCTTCTATTTCGTACGGTAAAAGCACAGATAACGACCATAAATCAGGTTGTGTACGTCTGGGGAATCCCCGCACTGCCGCTGCAGGATCAAACTGCCACTCCGAAAGCTCCGTCGCCGCATCCCCAAAAAACGCAAGAGATAAAACCCAATTCCACCAAAAAAAAACATTACAAACGTGATGATATTAATGTTCCTTATTGACACATATATATTTAATATGTAAAAAATATGACAAAACTTTTTTAATATAAATTTAAATATATTTTGATTTATATACAAATTTTACTAAAAAAAATATGTTATAATTATATAATAAATTAAATTTATTTGTATTGGAATATTGATAATATAAGCTTGAGTCTGATACAAAAAAGCAAGTTCAATAATTGCTTTAATATCTGTCAGAGACAAGATGATTGATTGCCAGTAAATTAAATTATGCGGGTTTTGACCTAATATTGGACGTCTGCTGTTAAACAGTTTGCAAGATCCGCAAGTATTTCCAATTGCTATGAATCCCTTTGTTGAGACTAAACAGATTTCTGATTATGCCCCCCGAGATATTTGACGAAATCTTCGAATAGTTTAAATGTTTCATCTTGCAAGATGTTACACATTGTTTCATAGCACTAAACCACACTGTCTTTTGCAGAAACACAATATTATTGTGATGTTATCCAAATCTAAAAAGTATATAACAAAAAAGTTGTTATTTTTGACAATAAGTATTTTTGGTACAATATTAATTAATAATTAACGTTTATATTATACCCACGAGCCAGTGGGCGCAGGTTCAAATCCTGGTCAAGCCAGGCTCTTTGTGAGTCCACTCGGTGCTTGCAGCAATAAGACCATCGTTCATCACAGATGGACAGTGAAATAAATGAGTTTCAACATATGGACCTTCAGCAAAGTCGATGGACAATGACAGTGTTAAGGATAGCAGCAGAATCACAGTGAAAGGAAATTGTGGAATCGCTGAGCATCTATATACAACTGAAGTTAACTTACAAGACGACAGCCAACATATAAATAAAAATAAAAAATCATCATAATAAAAAAAAAATATTGTATATAAAGAAAATTATACAATAGCTGAAAATTGAAGGTCATTTTAAACTGTCTGACATTGATGTCACTTTTCAACCCTTATTGTTGAGGGAAAATGAAACTGGAACACCGCTGTCCTCCCAACCCCAAATTTATACTGCACCTCACGTTCGAGCAATTGAAAAAGTTCCACGCAAAGTTCTAAACTGTCTCGACGTTTAATGTAAGAAAAGGATATTTCCATCCAAATGTAGTTATTACCATTTGCTTGCTATCCAATTCAATGCGAGCTCACCTGTGCCACATAGGCATATTTCTAACAATGAAATTTTCCACGCGAAAATAGAATTTGCCTTTGACGTTTCAAATTTATCACTTTTGTGGCTAGTAGAATTCACATTTACACCCTATTACTTAAAGTAATCGTGTAAAAACGTTCACTCCTAATATGATGTAAAAAAAAACTTAATCGAACTACATTAAATTACATGTAATAAAGTTAGTCTAATTAATATTTATACTACCTTTCAGTTAACGTACTAATGGGTTCGCGTAACGTACGAGATGTTAAGCGAACCGATTATAGATATAATCCTTAAATAAATGCAAGCATTTACATTTTTTAATGTATCTTAGTTCGCAAGTAGTACTCGAAGTTCATAGAAAAGTACAGTTTAAGGAACTTACGAAATACATATTTTCATCTATAGGTTTCTTAGTTCGCTAAGTACGTGCGTTCGATCTTCGTAAAAAAGTACACTAAGGTCCTTAGTAAATACATATTTTGATTTGTTATTATAATTGAAATTAAGTTAAATAAACAAGAAATTGTTCCATTATACGTTCATACAAATATTGGTTTTAAATTATTATGTACGTATTATCGAACGTACGTTAATTTAGTGTAAATACTGTCTTTTTCCATACTTGATGGATGGAAATATTATCAAATTTAACATCAACAAGAGATTCATCTGCGAAAACGTTGCGGATTTCTCAAGAAAACAGGAAACAGAAAAGAATAAATAACAGAAACAATTTAATATTGCGAAGGGTGAATATTTAACTCTGCGTGATTAAAGCGCATAACTTTTGTCGTCTCGTCCTTTCGCTTCTTCGGCTGTCCGCGCCTGTCCTTTCCTCTCTCACTCTCCTTAATAAAACTCAATTAAAAATAATCAGATTAGGACCGAAGGATGTGGCTTCTCCGTATACTTCCGTCGTCCTTTAATTTATTCTTTGCCGGAAGAAAAAAATGCACAGCGAGCTTTAATTCACGCAGTTTTTAATTAACGAGACCGAAGGACCACTTCAGGCATCCTTTTTTTTTGTACTTTTCTGTTGTTGTTCGTTTCTCAGAGAGAAATACGCGCAACGCACATCAAGGACATTCCCCAGCGGCACTAACTTTAATTCTATTTTTCACGACCACTGCAACAAAAAAAATATATACCATAAACAAAAAATTTAAAAGCTTCCATGAGAGCTGTCACAAACGAAAACCGAGGTGAAAAATAGAACTAAAAATTCACGTTTGTACGCGTTTTATTAAATACTTTAACTGCTGAAAATTTAAATATATTATTAATACTAATTATACCTAAAATATTTTCAATTTACGTTTTTTTTTTTGGATAATTACTTTACTGTAATTAGGAAACGGATAATTGCGAAAAATTATCTTCATTCGGAGCGTGTGTATTTTGCATCACTTCAGTAATTGCAATGTAGATTAAACTAATTACGTGTTCTGCAAAACTTCAAAATTAAACTTTCCAGAAACCCTTGCATCCTGATTTACGTGCAGCAATTTTCGTAATTCGCCGTCCTTCAAGGATACTTGTTTGCATAAGCTATTTTCTACGTTTTGCTGAATACATATATTTTTCTCTTTTTTAAATATTTAGTAAGTATTGTCTAATGAGTATGAAAATGTGCAAAGTTTTCATGATGTGCACTTATACAAGTTACACGGCAAGTAATATACAAGAGCATTAATTAATTGAACAATAACAAATACAATTTATAAAGGTTTACCTTAAGTAACAAGTATTGATTGATGAAATTATTAAGATTTGGAGACATAGGATAAGTACTTTACCATTTACTTGCCAAGTATGACTTACGAAACTTAATTATTTAATTTATAAAATTTATTTCCAACAACAAATTAATTATATTTTATAGATTGGAATACATACCACAAATACTTTATCAAGTACTTGCCAATTATTGCTTATGAAACTTTCTACTTAAT